AAAGGGCTCCGGAATCTTCGCAACTCCGGAAGCGAGCTGACAGGCACACTTTGCTCGAGGAGTTGTGCAGAAGATTGTGCTTGACATGCTGAAGCTCTCTCAAAAACGAAGCGTCCTGGCCAACAGGTCAATATTCCGCAAGAATGAATTCCCAGGTACGGTTGGGCTTGGGATTCCGCTGTCTCCGTTTTGAAAGGTTGGAAGGTGCAAAGCCAGGACGCCCGTCAAACAGCAGTGCCCCAAGCCCACGGCGCCTGGCACCGCTGCTGCAAAAAGCGGTCTTAACTTGCAGTTCTCGCTTCCTGGAAGACAGGCTCTAAGATGAGGCGGACGCCTTTTCCTCCAAGACCTTTCGGAGAAGCGCTGAGCTACCGGTTGTAGCGGGCACGCTGCCAAGTTAAAGGCATGTTACTGGCGGGAATCTTGTTTTTGCAGCGCTTTCAGGACCCCCAACAAGGTGCGGCACACGTTGCAATTGACCCCATGTGTCCCCAAACCAAAGGCTTGGAAAAGGCATCTGGAACTTATGAACTCTCACGTTCTGATTCTACCAACCAAGAAGCTTAGGATTTTTGGTGCAGGGCCAGGTGGCATGGGCTCGCAAAGGTGTTTGCTCGGTTGGGTTTGTCTCGATAAATCCGATAGGGTCGTTCAGGGCTGTTTTCCGGACCATGAAATTTTTGTGGGTCGTCGGCTTGCGCCTTTTGGTCGTCGGTTCGGGGGTTCCATTTAGTCGTTGCTTCAATGCCCTTCTGGTGCTTAAACCTCATTATCAGGTGCTTATTTGGGGAACAGGGTGTTTAATTGCAAGATTGAACGTGGACCCGTCATGTCCCGTCCAACATGACATTTCGTCAAGTTCAATATTGTGGTTGCCCCTTGCGCGCGCAGGACCATTGTAGTGGACATCGGAAATTGCCTAGAAAGCCAACCGAGCCAGAGACATTAAGCAGTTCTGATGTTTTGGCAATCAAGGGGCTATTCGCAGTGCAAGGGGGCTGGAAGCACGGAGTGACCGAGGTTTGGGCTGCTGCCACTTGGATTGCGCAGAGGATCTCGTATGCGTTGATTTGCTCCGATGCGTTTCCAGTACCGCGATTGTCAACATCATCGTTTGTCCATCCAGTGTTCTTCGACAGCATCTTGAAAGACATAATCGAGTCATTTGGTATCATTCGAGGTCTGTGCTTGTGCTGTTGCTACCTTTATCGCCGTGCGCGCTTAGCAGATGAAGAAGAAAAAAACGCATTGAGACATGCCGTCACGTACGGCAATGCCATGTGATGCGGAAAATTGAGCGGTGAGACTCGGAGGATGGGAGGTTTGGATGACCTATAGGTTTCCAATGTTTTCAATTTTTTGTGACGAAGTGCATTGTTAACACTTGTTATCAACTAGTTTCCCTGTTGCATGTCCCTTAAAAATCGACATTTTTCCAAATGTTTTCAATTCCATTCCGGGTGCAATCCCAATCCCAGTGTGACTTATCGTTTTCGCAGGCCGAAGACGCTGAGGCCCGTGCATCGCCACAAGTCAGACATATGGAGACGGTCGTTCGTTGTATTGACTGTCCTTTTCAGAGCATAGCATCGGGGATCCACAATCATGAGCGTTATGGATGATTCAAAGCTGGGAGGGAAAGCTTGCACTCCTGACAAATACATTGCCCGTGACACAACACCGCAACACATTTTTCTTTGGAAACTGGACTGGAATAGCGCGAAATCACCTTAGGATTTCCCCGGTTTTTATGGTTTATGTACCTTTGTGGCCATGCTATGCTTTGTAAGGGCTGGGAACGGTGATTGATTCGGTCACTGCTTACACCACTGCCAGGCTGGTGTCGTCCAGGAGGCGCAGGGATCTACATGGGAGCTGAATCGTCATGGGATCCTGATCCAGATGAACCATGACCCCAGTACGTGCCGGTATGAATAGACCTGGTTAGCAAAGAACTGAGACACTTTGGTTGAAGCAAGTCTTCAGTCTTCTAGTCGTTCCAGTTTGCATCTTCCCTAAGAATCAAGGACCCTTAAAGGTGAAGGTGTTGAGGGTCCAAATCCCTGCTATGCAGGGTGAAAACACGTGAAAACCCGAAGTGGTTGGGTCTGCTTAGGGTTGAAAGCGCTCAGGACTCTGAGGCAGAGCAAATCTTTCGCGAGGCCTATGAGGCCGAGGCGCCCGCACGCCGACCCGTCGGCGACTCCGCTCGGCTCGGCGATCCGAAGCGACCCGTCCGACCCGTCGGTGTGGCCCAAAAGAGCTCCCAGGTGTCGGCGTTGTTCGGCGTTTTCGGTGTCCGCCTTTCGTCCGAATTCCATGGCTTCAACGGTTTCAACGTGTTGCATACAAGTTCGCGAGGCAGAGAGAGCTGCATTGATGAGCAAGCAACTGGAGGCCGCTTGCAAGATGTCGTGGACGCTGGATGATGGTGTTCGGATGTGTTAGGCCTCCAAGTCGCGCCGTGAAAACCATGTGTTTTCATTTAGGCACCTCCTCGTCACCCTGTTCGTGTTTTCAATCCACAAAGAGTTTGAAAGCAAAAAACTTGTCACAGCCAGTAAGATTTATAGATATAGATATAGATGTATATACAAATTTATAGATATACATATCGATCATATCCAAAATATATATATAACATATGGCAAATAGATAGATATTATACATCCATCATCCAGCTATATTGTAATATAAAATATACACATCCAAAGAAAGGAGATGACGAGCACGGTGCCAGTGGTACGATGCCAGGCTGCGCTGGCAGAACAACTGGGCGCACCAGCAGGCCCGCATGTGCAAGTGTTCGACCGTTTGAGCAGATCCATTGTGTGAAATGCTGATGGTTTGAGCAGATCATGTTTGATCGTTTCCATACCATGCTGTCGTTGTAAATCCATGATTGGTGAGCCACATTAGCAGCATGTGCATGCTTTTTGGGGCAGCTGCATAAAATGTTTGAGGCATCACGATCAACATCGAGGCAGGGGCTGGTGCAGTCTCGTGAGCATTTGGTTGGCACAGATCAACCAAAAAGCATCAAAAAGCACTTATCCACATTCATCAAGATTGCAGCTCCTCTCTGCTTCCTACCCGAGCACCATGTTTTTGTAAGGCACCTGCAGCTCCTTCTCCGAACGAAACTGGGGGAACCACCTGGCGCAAAGCCTACGAGGAGCCAGCACTTGTGGGTCTGTGGGTTGGATTGAACATGAGGAAACGAGGTGAGGATTTGGTTGGGATCAAAATGATATAGATCAGAGAAAAGATGAAGGCTCGACGGAATTTCCAGGGTTCGGCCATCGTATAAGCTGTGTTTATCCATACCAAGCTGGAGGACATTAAGGCTCGAGCCGCTTCCCTGGAAAGCCAACTGCAAAAGGCGCGGCGTTGGGCACCCAGGTGTCTGTTCGGATCGATCTATATAAGTTCACGCAGGTCAAGGGGCTTTGAACAGAGCACGTTGTTTTTTGCTTGACTATTGATAACTATTGTATAAATATTGTTTGTATTTTTTTCTTCCTTAAATTTTAGATTGAGATGTACCATCGTTGTTTTGAACTGATAGATTATTCTTCCTCAGTATTGAAAAGGGCTGCAGAGCTTGTTTGGTATGAAGCAACTCATTGCTGTTGATCCTACTTGACTTGATGCTCCGAAAAGACTTCTACCGAAGAAGACTGAGTCGCATGCCGAAGCCGTCGAGCGCAACCTCTCTGAGGTCTCTCTGAACCCGTCGAGCCCAAGGAGACTGAGGCGGCCAAGGTGGCTAGTTGGGTGTTTCACATCCTCGAAGCGACCGAACGTGCTGACACGCGTGTTTGAGCATCACAAAGAAGCGACATGGCCGGACAAACATGGCCCATTTGGCTCTCCTTTTATGTGAGAGTCAACCCCTGCCCGAACGATACCGGCCAGGGAGGTCTTTCAAAACCGGCATGAAACCACAGACCCACATCGCCCACCCCCGCTTTTGACAGGAGACTTGTTGTCAGCTCAAGCCTACGGATACTCTCATTGCTGAAACACAACTCACATCGGTTGGCGCTGGACAATCCGTCCCTTCCAAGCCAGGGCAAGAAAGAGGTGACAACTTTACACCTACTCCAACAGATCTTTTTTGAAGGTGGCCAGGTGTGTTGCCCTGGCTTCAGCATCCGGCTATTTAGAAACAAAAGGGCTTTCTTGGAAGCCAATACAAGACTACAATAATGCCTGTTGAATCAAAGCTGCCGCAAGGCTGAAGCCAACTTCTCCAGCGATACTGCGGCGTCTTCAACAACACAAACCACTCAAACGAAGCTTGGTTGGCAGACTCATCATTTTCTGATATTTTCTGCACGTTTGCAGGGTGATGACATGCTTTTGTTCTTCATGTGTCCCTCGGATACTGGGTCAACATGGGTCAACAACTTAGGGAATACTATTCATTCGCTTGTTCTTCAGGTACCTGTAGACATACGGTAGGCTCTCCGAGCTTCCCAAACAAGGCGGGCGGATGTTGCCGTGGGCCTCGGTGTCAGTGCCCAGTGGCCTCGGTTGGTCGATGGCAACCGTTGTTCGGTCTGAGGAATGTGCCTCCACCACAAGGCATGCAAGGCTCTTCGGGTCAGTCGACGGGGAGGGGCGAAGTGTTGGGGATGCAGTCGCGACGTGGTGCTCGTCTCTTTTAAGGGATGTTATGGAGATTTCCTTTTTTTGAGACTTGGGGCTTGACCATTGAATTGTTGGTCGATGAGAACCGCTGCCATTAGGCTTTGAGACCACTAGAACAGGGACAGCCTGATGTTTGCTGTGTGCTCACATGCAGAACGAACAACCGGACATCCAAGAAAAAGGAAAGGACTAGATGACCAGAACAAGGCCTTGAGACTTTTTCATGCAAGCTATTTCTGCAAGTGTAAAGCATACACTGACATACATGCAAGTTGTGTCCCCTTTTTGTCTGAGATGTAAGATACGCACATACATACTCAACGCGCAGACAGACATCTAGACTAGACTACTTTACGTGTTTACTTCACTGACTCGGACTGCGCACATGGTATCCTCCGCGAATGATCTCCTTCTATGATTGGGCCCCAGCCCAGCAAACGCATCAAGGAAATGGTCACAATCCTGTAGTCGAGGACCCTGTGGCACAGAATGACACTGAGCTACAAAAGGCGATTTGCCAAAAGATCCAGGATGCTGTTGACATTTCCGATGTCTTCAACAAGGTGGCCATCCATGCAGGCAAGGCCAGCCCCAAGACCTTGGTCTATGCCGTGCATCGCATCGCGCGGTACTGTCGCCTCCGAAGACAAGACATCGGTCCGACCCGTCGGGCGGCGCGTTTCCTGTCACTCTTGGAGAACTTGCAGAGGAACCTGGCCACCTTGGACGCACAGGCCTTGACGGACTTGAGTTGGTCCCTGGCTGTCCTGAACCATCGAGAGAAGAAGATTCTCGCAGGTCTTTGTCATCAGCTTTTTGCGCGAGTGGACGACTTTAGTCCAGCCAATCTGGCGATTAGTGCCTGGAGCTTTGCTACCCTGAACTATCGTGATGATCTGGTCATGAAACGGCTCAATCGCCAAGCGTTGGGACGGCTTCAAGACTTTGAGGCCCAAAGTTTAGCCAATCTGTCCTGGGCCGAAGCCACCATGCGCTTCAAGGATGATGTACTGATGCACCACATTGCTGGAGAGGCGTTGCGAAAGATGGATCGTTTCTCTCCACAACATGTGGCCAACACTGCGTGGGCGTATGCGACCTTGGGGCGCAGGGCCAATGCTTTGTTTGAGGCTTTGGAGGGAAGGGCTTTGCAGCTGCTCAATGAAGATGCACCTGACTTTGTGCCCTTGGACCTTGCCCTTTGTGCCTGGTCTTTCGCGTGGCTAGAGCATGTGGGACCACATTCAGAGCTCTTGCATGCCATTGCTCGGGCAGCATTGAGGCGCTTGGATGAGTTCAGCACACAGCAACTGGCAAATATGCTTTGGGGATTAGACCACGCAAACTATGTGAATCCAAGCCTCTTTGAGACTGTGGTGCGATGGTGCTGTTCGCGACCGATCAGCTTTTGGCAAAGGGCTGCTGGTGAAGAGATGGTGTCAGTCATGACTGCGCTGCGTCCTTATGCATCTGGCCATCCGGAATGGAGGCAACTTGAGGCGTTCTTCACCACTGAAACCTTACGCCCTTTGGCACGCTTCCTGTGCTCTTCCAACACATCAGAAGGCTATGTTCAGGGGCTGCGCCAGTTGCGGACCTACCACGGTGGTGCTCTCTACACCTCCTGGCTTTTGGAAGAGATCGGTATTGTCTTTCTAGGGGATGGCAATGATACAAGGGTCTCGCAGAAAGTGGAGGATCTTCTGAAATTTTATTTGCTACCTCCAGAGCCAAGATGGCTCCCTGATGGCTACGAAGATGATGATGTTCAGGCCAACAGGGCAGAGATTCCCAGTTTGCTGGAGCTTTTGGACGTCAAGCGACGAGTGCAACCCTCCAGCCATTTCATCGCCTTGCACCTCTCGGCGGAGCTCGAAGTGCGGACGGCCGACGGACGAGAACTTCGTCGCAGCATATGGAGAGCCGTTCCCACTCGGCCACCACGACGCTCGGGCCTTTCCTTTGTGCGTGGTGAGAAGTTCGAAGATCATGGTGCGCCCGATGATGATGAGCCGGGCTTTGGCATGAAAACTGCGACGCTACGCGATTACCAGCGCAAGCACCATGCCGAAGTGACTGCCCTGTCTCAGGTTGTTGAGATGATCGAAGAAATGGATGGACAGGACGCCTCCAGTCCCTTGAGAATCGCCGAAAGTGAACAGGAAGGCAATGTCAGTGGGTGGGTCGAACTCTTTGTTCCCCATTATCCTTGTTCCAGTTGCATCGGTGCCCTGGTGCAGTTTGCCAAACGGCATCCGAAGATCTCGCTCCGTGTGGGGCACGATGACTGGCGCCACTGGCTTCGACGGCTGGACGCTCAGTGGGATCCTCAGGATCTTCGTCATCACATGCTTTCCATCAATGCTCGACAGCTCAGAGAGTTGGATCAACATATCGGCGAGGCCATTCCTGCTAGCTACCGAGCTGCCTTGAAGGGAACCTTGGGTTCGACAGGCTTCCGAGACGAGCTGAAGCCCGTGCGAGGCGAGGGATATCCGAAGGTGGACACTACTCCTGCGGCCCCAGTGAGGCAGACCTTTTATTGAGGCTGGCAATCGCTGGGGAGTGTGGCAATCGCATGCAAGGCATGCCACTTTGCATGGCGGCCCAAAAGTGAAAGAGCCCAAGTCTTTTGACCGCATTTCATTCCACAGAAACTAAAGACACTTAGCATCGCTACAGCAGAAATCCAGAGGGATCTTCCTCCAAATGACTCACGTAGGGGGATTTCCACTGAACCGCAGGTGGACCTCAGGTGGACCTGATGCAGCAGATGCAAAAGCTCCGAGAGGCCGTTCTGCTAGAACCAGCTCGCCACAATTCTGGCTGACAGCAGTCTTCTATTGTCAGGGTATAGGTGCGTTCTTGATGGTGCTTTTGTCTTTTCCCCCCAAAGTCAAACGTTTCAAAGACACATGTATCTGGAGGAACAAGACTTTCTCAATTGCTTTGCTTGACTGCCCTCTTGCTAGAATATGTTGACTAGCCCAGCTGGGGTGGACTAGGGCAAACTTGTTATCCCCATTATTCCCCATTCAAGCTTTTTCCAAGTGCTTGGTGAAGCAGCAAGACCCACTTCAACTGGTCTTGGGGATGAAAGAAAGGTTTTCTTGATCGCTGAGCGAACCCCCATCCGGGCTTGCTCGCAGCCTCGCATAGCCTCGCCAGATTGCCACAATCTCGGCTGATGAGGTGCGAGTGGTTAAAGAAGAGGGCAAGACCCTGGAAGATATGGCATATTAGGTTGGAGGCCATTGCTAGTAGGCGGAGGCCATCACTAGTAGGGCTGCTGGGAACCTTTAAAAGAAGGGGGCTTAAGACACTCGAAGATGTGGAATATGCAGCTCAGATCGTACAAAATCCGGCATGTTGAGGCCATTCAGAGTTGTAACATGTGTGTGTCCTTTTTTGGGATGACTGAGCCGGAGTCAGTTGATCCTCCAGCAATTCTGGCCACAGGAGTCAGTGCAGCGGCTTTTGACTTTGGCTTTGCTTGCCAACCAGGAGGCAATCGTTCCATGTAAATGAACCAACCACTCGACTCCCTAGCAATTTCATTTGTGGATCTAGCAGTCTAGCATGTGTAAAGGTTCCCAGCAATGACCTCCCAAAAGCGATGGCCTCCAACCTACTAGCAATGGCCTCCATCCTAGTAGCATCTCATTCAATTGATTCATTTGGTTGCATTCTTTTACAGAAGAGACCCCAATAGGTGAGGTTAGACGAAGAACATTCCTCCACGGGTTCCAACAATCCTGACGAGAGGTCACACTCCTCCAAACTTGACATGGACCGATAGCCAGCCGTTTTTGAGAAGGACACTCTTCCAATAGAACGGATAACCTCCAAACCTACAGGAACCCGGAACCCCACTTTGTACCTAAGGACGAATTCCTCCACCACCTCTAGTGCACGACGCCCTATACACATGTTGGATATCCATGCACATCCTCTGTGAGTAGTGAGGCAGGAATTCTTCCTGCAACAGTGGCACGATTGAAGACCATGATCGGTTGGGAATACAAGAGCCACACCCACGTCTTGGTTTTTCATGGTCTTTGCATCATGAGCTTAGTCGGCTCCGAACGCTTGCCAGGGCATGTTTCAAGAGCAGGCGCGGGAGTTGGACACTGGGTGATGCCGGATAAGATGCAATGAATATGAACAAGAGAAGATTGTACATGGTGGATGGTCGTGGTATGGTGCACCCGACCGCTTACGCAGTTCGGTCTTGTGCTTCGTCAGTAGCATCCCGACTGCTTCCGACCTCTTGTGCTTCGGTGGCCTGGCAGTTTCCTCTGCGCTGGTCTACTCAATTGCCTTGGAAGAGATGGAGTTCTAGAGAATCATGCGCCATCTCATGAGACCCCGTGCACGAAAGCTCAAAAAAGGTATACACATAATAATCCAAAGGGGTGCACAACTGATCGATGCCAGGGCCAGGCCGTGACCAAGGAGTTGCCCGCTTTGAACCAAGCTCGAGAGGCGCGCCAATTCGTTGGGAAGAGATCGATTGTATCGATTCCGTGGTTCTGATGGTCTAGACCATTCCGGCAGTTCTCTTTTGTGTCTCAAAAAAGGCCAAGTGAACCAGGGTCTAGACATGTCTAGACTTGACATCAATACCCCAGTGCTGTTGGTGAAGTTCTGGGGCGGTTTAGAAGCCACAGAGTTTTCAGCTACAGTCCCTGGAACTAAACATTGAAGTGGAGTCCACCCCCTGTTTGGTATTCAGAAAGCAGTCTTCCTTTCGGGTTCCATGCCATCCACTTCCATGTATATCAGCAAGCTCTTTCTGCTTGTTTTTTCATGATTGGATCGGTCTTGCGGAATGAGGCACTCAGCAATGAGGACAGGGAAGGGAAGACAAGTGGTGCCGGGAGTTTTTAATGGAACAGCAACTCTGGGACGAGTTGAGGAACATGTACTTTGATGTTTGAGAACTCATATCTTCTTATGTTCAACTATTCGTTTGTCAACCCTTAGGCACAAACAATCTGCGTTGCTTTGGGTAAATCAGAGCAGCAAGTAGAAACTTAGTAGTAGAGATGTGTGAACTTCGATTGTTCAAGAACATAAGAATGATAAGAGGTTGTGGGCACAGATGGGTTTGTTCAAAGCCCAATCCAGCCTTCAGAATCTTCATGTGAATATGCTCAGAGAAGTTTGCTCAACCCCACATTGGAGCAATATGGAGTGGATTTGTTCCAAAGCGATTCAACCACGGAGGATTTTGTGGCATCGGACGCATTGGTCTTTGAGCGTTGCTATGTCTTCCCCGGAATGGTGGGGGTCACAGTATCATCAAGCGAAGTGTCATGTGCCTCTTATGTGGCTTTCTGCAAAGAAAGTTATTTTGTACTGGAATCCTTTTTTGAGGCATGCCTGGGGATTTGCAACCCAAGGCTTTCTCCAGGGACATCCATCCACCTCTGCTTTTTTTTTTCGGGCTCACTGCCGCTCTTGGCCAGTGGCCAGCCATAGCTGATGACAAGTAGACAACCCATCCGCCATTGCCCACCACAAACATCGAAACAATAGTTGTACTCCGGGAGCCCAAGCAAACCATAGCAAACCACCCAGCGAGCTTTGCCAACATGAAGATGTCATCTGCATGTGAGCTGATGATTTTAGTGTCACACCGACCTGGCATCGCGCCGAGATCCCCAGTGGGCGTGATCCGGCCGCCGCCCTGGAGTCCCTGCAGCGGCGGATGCAGAGCGTGGCGTGGGGAGGACTCAGTTCGGCCGGAGTAAAGGAGGTCGGACAGTCTTTTCGTTGTTTTCTTTTGAGTTTAGAGGACTGATGACGGATACTGGGGTTGATGCGGTTGAAGTGCACATTGAGATAGGAGTGGCACGCAGTTGGGAGATTGGAGATGGTTGGCTTTGAATTCCATGGCTTGGGTGCAATTTTCGCAACACGGCCATTTTCAGCAATTTTCGCAACCATTTTGGATCATGGCTTGGACAGATCCGCTTCAATGACCCATGCCAGCTGCTAGTCGCTAGCTGCTTGCTGGGCCACAAATGGAGGAAGCCAAGCAGGAGGCCCGTGCAATGGGGCCACGTTATGGGCTCATGCAATGCTTATTGACTCCACACAACGCGCTGAATTCCATCCACATTGCGGTAGGGATTCTGTATCCCCATCTCTCTCTCTCTCTCTGCCCTGCCTTGCTTGTTCTCTTTTTTTCAGGCTTCTGGCCAATAGTCCTGTTCAATCAGTTAAATATGCCTTTGACATTGGACTCGAATGAGTGCTATGTGTTTGTAACTGTGGAACCCACAAAGACCTTGGTAGGAAGAGCAGGTTTATCATGGTTTATCACACAATTCAAAATATCTCAAAACCAGCACTTGGTGTTGAAGGAGGTTCCTAGGGTTCCTGTTTCAAAAGGAACACTCCCATTCTGCCGTCCAGAGAAACAGGAGATCTTCATCGCAGATGTGGCGCCCGATCAGATCATTTCGGGCTCCGCCTTGGATCAAGTGGAACTGCTTGTGCGGTCCATGGAGGCGCACACGATGTGACGTAAAGACAAGCCCAATCCATGCGCATCGCGCAGATGGATGGATTCATGGATAGATTTGTTGGGATTTGTAGGGATTGTGTATGTGAGTTTCAAGCCTTTTGCGGAAGCAAGCTGAAGCTAAGTCAGCGAAGTCTTCTGCGCCAGCGGCATATGTGGAATGTCCGACCCTAGATTCACTTCTCGGTGCAACTCATTTGCAGGACCAGTTTCGAGAGCAAGCCATGAAAGCCTCCACAAACATGGACCTGGTTGAAGCCAAAGAGGACTTGGAAGGGGATCACAAGACAGTGTCCATCATTTGTGGCATGGTACTAGTAGCAAGAAGCTACTAGGGTGGAGGCCATCGCTAGTAGGTTGGAGGCCATTCCTATTAGGTTGGAGGCCATTACTACACAGGTTCGGTGGAGGTCCGATTGGTGCGGAGCCAAAGCGAATGCAGTTTCGATCAGGAGATGAAAACTCTGATGGACGACGTGTCTGCAGCACAGAGCCGGCTGGACCAGGCGTGGAATTTGCTCTTTTGAGGTCTTCAACCTGAATGAGAGAATGATAAATTGCACAACATATAATATATAATATATATTATATGATATAGGTCTCTCTGAAAGGACTCTCACGGATGCTAATGGTAGCAAGGGAGGGTAACAAGGCGAGAGGGGAGGCCAAGAAAACCGATTGCCGTGCCGATCGTCCGGTCCAGTCCAATCACTGATGGGGGCTCCAAGGTGGCCAAGAGCGCCATGGACCTTCAACGAGACTTGGCACAAGCCAACGACCGCAGCCTCGTGTTCAATGCGGAACAGCACCCAGACATGGACAAGGAGTTAGGGAGAGTGAGGATGAGAGGTGTTGCATGTTTCCAACTTTAGCTACTTAGATACTTGGCCATCGATCCCCCCTTGCAACTGGCGCTGGTAGAAAGTGTTCACCAGCTAGCTGGCACAAGCTGGCGTTTTCAACCAGCTAAGGGTCATGTTCCAACTCTCCAGCGGTCTAGCATGGTCCACCATTTTTCAGGAGGCACTGCTTATAGCGGCGCAGGCCCACTTAAGGCAATGCCGCTGTCGCAACAAGGCCGGCGAGCCGTGGCCCTTGTGGTCTACGAAGGCGGATGATTTGGGGGAATACGGCACTGGAATTGCCCTCTATTTCAGATTCACCATCTCCTTGAGCATGACAGTTCTGCTGGGTGCCTTTCTCACTCTGCCCTTGCTTTTGCTGAATTTCACCGGTACGGGGCTCACGGAGGTGGATGTTGGGACAGGTGAGCATGGGATCTTTGCTACCAGTAGTATTGGAAACTTCCTCTCCAGCAGTGGATCCATCTCATTGAGTCGCTTCGACATCACACCAGCAGATGTCGCCACCCTGGTGGGACTGCTCGATGCCCTGGCCATCGCAGCCGTGGCCCTGTTGGCGATTTGGTTCGAACGGGTCGCCTTGCCGGCGGCTGTGAAGGCGGAGGCACTAACCATCGTCACACCCGACGACTATTCGATCTTTGTGAGCAACTTACCTCGACGCCTCCCAGGGGAACTACATCAGCAGTATGAGCAGCTCCTACAGGAGCATTTTGAGCGGCAGCTCAGTGCAGAAGTCACACCTGGCTTGCAACTTCAACACTTTAAAGTCATCTCTCAGGAGGAGCAATTCCTTTATGATCCACCAAAGAAGAGTTGTTTCAGCTATTGCACACGTGGATCCAAGGACTACCGAGGGCGCAAGGTGCGGGGGTTGTGGACGCTGGGACGGTGGACACAGGTCTAGTCAGAGTCATGCAGTCTGTCGTCTGAAGGCTTCAGAAGATGGAGACCAGACAAGACATGACCCCTGTTTTGACCATTTTTGGGGTAGTTGGTGGTCCTAAATAGAGGTCACTTCTAAGTACTTCTAAACTTCCAAGCATTTTACTTGCTTGAAGATGCTCAATATTGCTCGATCGAGATTACGGACAAAGATTCCACGGGAAGGACCAATTGCGAGGTACCTTTGATTGTTCAACTCTTCAAACTTACATGGCAGATCATAGCAGCGTGCTTGGAAGAACTATACCAAAGCCATCCAAAGCCCAAACACAATGCTTTTGGGGGAAACACATCGTACACATCCATATACGTCCATATCGAGTCAGTTGAGCTTGAGAGCAAAACGCACCACAGGTGGGCGTCATTGCCAGTGTGGAAGGCTCGTCATGTTTAGTTCGCTGGCCGGATCATCGCGGCAACTTGGGCCTGGCAGAAGAAGTGGCCGTGGATCGTCCTAGCGATGCGACAGATGGAGTGAAAGCACCTGGCTTGTTGCAGGCCTGATTCGATGCGTTTCTTTTGAAGATGAAATACGTGTTTCAAGCGCTAGGCCCCTAGATACGTTTTTTCTCTATACATCTAGGAACCCATTGGATAGCGTGAGCTATCCTGTGTCCAGCAGGTAGTACTGTAGCGGCTAGCCCTTACTGAATTAAGAAGGTGCCTGCTCAATTGCAGAAGTAAGAGTGAGGGCAACGGGAAAAAAGAAGCTTGAACACGTTTCACTGGGAATCGTTTCACCTGTATAGTATGCATTAAGAAGCTACTAGTAGGAACAAAAAACACTTACTGTCCTTGTTACTAATAGCGATGGCCTCCAACCTATTACTAGCGATGGTCTCCACCTAGTAGCGTCCTTGCTACTAGTAAAACACAACAATATCTCCATGGATCTCCTGTCAGGCTGACCTCCTGACTCGGCTGGAAGAAATGGGCTGTCAACCACCTCAAGGAGGACGCCAAGCCGTTTACAAGGTCAGCTTGATCCGAGACTTTCGCGGGAAGCTGCACAGCATGCGGAAGGTGGTGGAACGTGCCAAGAAGATTGGTGAGCAGGAGAACCCAAGTCAAAGGGAAGCGCAAGAACAGGCAGATGCAGAGGAAGAGTTGAACAACCTCGATCTTGAAGACAAAGATGTGCTGGGTGCATTTGTCACTTTCACCTTCATCCACTTCAAAGACTTCGTAAGTCTCTTTTCTGATTCGAGTTCCCTTTTCTTCCTTGAATTGCTTGGACGTGCACCCAACGGCCAACCGCTTCTAGAATTTCGAGCCGCACCCCTCTCCCGTACAAACATGTACAAACCTGGTCTCATCAAAGGAGTCGGAGGTTGAGGTGTCGCGCAAAAGACCACGCATGAGTTCACTGAGGCCAAGAATATCGCTTCTCTCGACTGCTGGGCCTCGGGCCGTGGTTACAGGGTCCCGACCAACGCTTCGGCGAGCGTGCTTTGCGTATCTACCCTGCACCGTTGCCCAGCGACATCTTCTGGGAGAACTTTGACTGCCCAACGACCAAGCGCCGGTTGAAGACGCTGCTGATGGGTCTCTCGACGTTGCGCGGTTCGACTGTGTTCGACTTTTCGGAGTCAAAGACTGCCACGAACGTAGCGATGCCCGAAGTGCTCCGTTCGTAGCATCCGATCGCTCCGTTCGTAGTACGGCCAGGAGCTCCTAATTAGTAGCGTCTCTTACTCGTATTGTTGGCATGTCACACAATTGACTCCAAGAGAAATCTGATGTATGAAGGTCTAGCAAAAGGCAATTAAGAGTCATCTTGAGTCAGTGCAACTTCTCGATCTCTCAACTTCTCTTTCGAAGGCATCACCTTTCTGTTAGTCCTTCTGGTGATGGTCTTGGGGCTGAGCTTGGCGAAGTGGGGTCGAGAGCAGGCGCAGGCGCAGTCCCCGGATTGCTCCATCTACAATGCCACAGTGTTGGCATCCAATGCGAGCGATGTACCAGTAGACTGCTATTGTGCATCTGTTGGGATTGCTACTTGACCAGCAATGTCCATCTTCCTTTTTGTTGCAGTTTCATTCGAGGCTCATTCAAGACTTCATTCTTTTTTGAATGAAACCGAGGCAAATCTACTGCAGGACAAGCCCGCTGGAATCATGGAGACATGCCAGAGCTACCTGCAGACCTTTGCCTATGTTCAGGGCATGATCGTTGGTGCTGCTATCTTCTCATCGGTCACTCAGATGTGGTTGGAAAAATGATGGTGGATCTCGATTTGGTTTGTTGGGGCAAGAAACTACCAGTAACAAGGGCATCGCTCCTAGTAGCAAGAAGCTACGAACGTAGCTCCTGGCATTAGGAACAAGAAGCTAGCTGGGGACCACGCCTCGGGACCACACTAGGACGTCAGGTAGCTCAGGCGGTCCAAAACACACACCCCAAAACACACACCTGTATAGCTTGAACAGGTGGTTTCTATTCTATGTTTCAGATATGGATGTGATGTGGCTCCGTTTCCAGGATCGTATAGACCCCCTGTCATAGATCGAAAAGCAGATCCACCAAATATGGTATTGGACACCGTGCCACGGACCTCTATTTGGGCATCACCAAGAACCCGGAAAGAACAAAACACATCACATGAACAACCCATGTCCTGAGTCTCCTACCCTTACTACGAACGGGAGCGATCGGATGCCACTCAGGTGATCAACTTGGCTTCGGGACATCTCATCGCCGTGTTGGCGCACTTCATGCAGCCGCCCAACTGGACGGCCCGGGACTGAGACCTGTTTGGGGCGTCTTCTTGTTGGGCATACACTTGGGCACTTCATGTCACTTCATTTTACTCATGTTTCAGTCCACTAATGACTCATGACCACCTAAAGGAGGTTTCATGATATTCCTCCCAAAGCTTTCAACAGGGTTTTCCGATCGGTGCTCGGAAAGACGTTGGAGGCCTTGGAGGCAAGGATCATGGAGATGACCTTCTTAGTGCAGCTTTTAACGCTCGGTGTGGTCGTCACCTTGGTGTCTCTTGGGCCGAGGAAACAGTGAGGTTTTTTCTTTGTTTAAGCTCTGTTTTTCAAGAGTTCTTGTTTTTGTCAACCTGTTGTCACAGTTTTGTTTTTTTGATGTTCTTCATGTTTTCGTGTTTTTTTCTTCTGCAAAGGTGCGTGCGACGAAAAGGAATATTGTGGACCCTATAGGGAGGAAGTGATAGGAAGTGTAGGTGGTTCTTCTTGGTTCTTCTTTCTGGTGATCTGGGGTGGGTCGCTATGTCCTTGGTAGCTTGGCCAGCTTGAAACATCTTGAAACCTCAAACGCAGCTGAGGAATGCCGATTTCCAGTTTGGCCTTGGCGCAGAGAAAGGTGCCGTGGCTCACATTCCTGAAATGTCCAGGAAAGATCAGGAAACATAATCTCAAAAAAGATTACAAAAGACATCTAAAGACAGACAACACCAAGGTAACACCTATACACTTTGATGATGTTTTTGTTTTCTCATTTCCTACACTCTTGAAAAAAACATCTGATGAATGGAGCCCTTATTTGCTTCCCGAGGAATCTTGGGACTCATTGGCGCCGGTGACTTCCAGGACATTGACCGTGCCTGGACCGCGGCCGTGGGGGTGGAGATCTTGATGCTTTTCATCTTCAGCATTTCCTCTGAGGTGGTCGGTGAGTGCTGTCGCGTGACGCTGTCGCGTGACGCCGTCGCGTGGCGGTGGGTGAGGTGGTCGAGGTGGTCGTTGTCGTGTCTGTCCGGCCCTCGAGTCCGTTCGATCTGCATCTGCTTCAGATGGGACGCGATTTCGGTTGGCCGATAGCAAGAGGTTCACGAAAGGGGTGTGAAAGAAGAGGTTTTTGGAAAGGATTTCGAGACAATCTTCATGCAGAAATGAGAGTGATGGATGTCGATGTGATAGTATCATATAGTATCTCAATGGGGGGCCACCAGTGAACGGTCGGTGGCTGTGATGATAGCAATGGAAGAAACACTGTAAAAGAAGGAAAAGAAGCTTGCTTGGAGCATTCAGGTAGCTGTGAAAGAGCTTTTGCTAATTGGAGTCACAACGGAATCTTGACAGCACCCTTTGAAATTGTCTTCCTGAAAAAGACATCAATCCTGCCATGGGAGGCAGTGGCCGCCAGCTGTGTGCTTTGGTTCAAGTTTTCTTGCTGGTGCTTCAGCGGACGGAAAAAGACCTGGAAGGACTCGACTGGCCAACATAAAGCTACTAGGAACAAGTGCATCGCTACTAGGAACAAGGGCCTTACTAGTAGTAACAAGAAGCTACTAGGAAACAATATTAGAATTCAATTAGACTTAGGTTGGAGGATTGGAGGATGTTGGAGGCCATCGCTACTATAGTGGAGGTATCAGGTGGAGCATCACTGTTGGGCGGAGGCCATCGCTACTAGGTGATCGCGACTATGGTGGAGCATCGTTATTACGTGGAGGCCATCGGTATCAGGTGGAGCATCACTGTTGGGTGGAGGCCATCGCTACTA